AAACGTGAAACATTGAATTTTTTTTTAATGCGAATATTAATAAATAGTAATATAAAAGTATTACTATATGACTTAGTATAAAAGTATATACTATGGTATTGTATAATTTCAAAATATTTGTATGTTATATCATGTTAAAATGAAATTTCTCAATAATTTTATAATACTTAGAAAAACAATCACAAATGATAAATTTACATAAAAATGATGTTAATGTAAAAAAATAGAAAAAATTTTATATTTCACGAATTTTTTAAACTCTATTTCGCACGAATTTACACGATATATAAAAGCACATTTGAAAAAATGCCTATATTCAAATTCTTAAAAATAATTGATGTCAAATATTTTAAATTAAAAATATACAAAATTAACGGAAAAAATATTTTTTATAGGTTACTAAAGATTTAAAAATATACAATTATAAACACTACGACATAGAAAATATTATCTTCTGCTTTGTATATAAATTTAGTCTTATAACAGTTATAACTATGACTGAGAGTTGACTGAATAGTTGTTTTTAGGGTGTTAAACGGTTTTTATGAATAATATATGCACGTGTGTCATCTTCATCGTAAATCGAAACACGACTATTAAAGGAAAGAATAGACTTTAGTTATTGTAATAGTATTATTATTGGATCAGAGAATAAATTGCGACGCATTATGTAGTGGATTGAAAAAAAATTAAATTATGAACAGAAGTGATTGACGCAAAATTGATAAAAGCTTACTCGCCGCCGTCAAATCCGATTTTTTTGTAGATGGAGGTAAAGCTGATTTCGGGTAATTATTATTAATGATACATTAGAATATAGTTGTAGATACCTATTGCACCGACGTTATACAGTATGTAAAATAAGTGTAAGTGAATAATTTTCTTTCAAAGTTGCATAGGTAGGTTTGTTTAGCCGGTACCGTTATAAAAAGTAAGAAATTAAAATCGAAAAGATTAAGAAATTAATGTTTTTAAAATGTCATAATACTCATAATTTTAACGAGCCATACGTGCAAATTGGCCAATTTTTTTGCAGGTACTCAATAGTCAATCGTAATATTGATTTTAAAAATGAAGTGTGACGTAGTCTTCAGCCCAACTATAGTCTATATAGTTATTTACCTACGAATACAAATTGTTATTTACATTAATTACGTAGTATTTACATTCAATAACTAGTTTTCAAACACCCACTACACTATTATATGATAGATATCTGTAGTAAACTATTACATTATCTGTCCACGATTTTATATAATACGGTTATAAGTTATAACATATGTTCTATTATTTTCAACCCACATTTTCTACGGAAGAAACAATAGTTTGTATCATTTGCGTTTATAACACTTTAGAACTTACCATCTTAAACTTTTTAGATGATTTTTTTAATTTAAATATAATATTAATCGTAGGGTTTAATTTCAAAATGCAGTAGAAAATTATATTTATTTAGTATTTACTTGATTAAGACTTGATTGTGGGGGGCCTAAGACTCCCTTATTACATTAATGATGAACTTGTTGTGTAGGAAATTTTTGATAAACACTAGTTCTGCACTGTAAACTTCTTTGAAAAAAAATAATAATTTAGTAATAAAAGCAATTTATTTTTTTGTCTGTGGAAGTTTATTACGTTGAAATTATAATTGAAGTCTTAAACCACTGTGATTAGTAAATAAACACACGTGTGAATGAAAAATGGGTACGATAATTTAGAAAAGTATGTACGATTATTTTAAATGCTAAAAGTTATAGTACTTCTTGTACAACTTCTTTGATAGAATAATTTTTTATTTTTTTTTTACGTTTTTAAAATGAATTAATTTTTATCAAAGCGACATTTAAACATTTAAGATTTTATAAATATTAAAGATAGAAAGGGGCGGTTTTTGTTAACAAGTTTTATAAGTTAAGATGTTGACAAAATTTGTAAAAATCACGAAAATTTGCAAATAATTTTTAAGTTGAAAATTTATAAATTGTTCAATTTTTATACTTAAGAATTGACAATGTATTATAATGTTTCTCTGTAGAAGTTTTAACAGAAGTTTTAACTGCTTTTAATTGAAATTTGGACAAAATTAGATAGGTATTTAAACAAAAAATATAATAATTATAGATACGTATTTCGTTGTAATTTAATTACTGGTAGGTACCTTATTTATAATTTTGACGTATATTGTTAATTATTATATTTTATACACACAATGTTATTTTATAATGTAATGTTTTACTCAAAAGTAATTTCAACCTGCTAATAATAAAATAAATTACTTAAATAATAATATAAGCCATATATTATCATAAAATATGCTTAGTAATAAAGGCTGTCAGACGGTCTTTTCGCTCAGAACTATGTAACCTTTTATCATTAAATTCAAATTTAAACATACATTACAGTGACTTTTCTTCAATGTGGAGGTAAATTAGACATCTACTGTACAACAGAGTAGTTTCCTATTTTCCCGTTTTTTTAAAGTTGTGTGGGAGTTTTATTTTTTATTAATTTCCAGTTTATCTTGTCACAGTCCATGACATTTGTGTGAAAACGATGTGCGGTGATGGGTTAAAGTAATATTTAAAACAAGTCCACAAAATCGTTTACTATTAACCCTCAAACTGACAACTGACAAGTGTAAAGAGTGGGCTAAAATAATCGCGTGCTCGAGTTTGTCGTATACCGTGTTTGTGTATGTGCAAGTCGTGAGTGGTTGACACGGCTGTATAGACGTAGACTGTATTTATCTGTCAGTGTCGGACCGCAGATAAACTAAAAATAGTCCAAATATTTCCAAACAGCCGTGGGTCGACACTTGACAGACGTTTAATTTCAATGTTTTGTTTGTTATAAGTTATAACTGATTGGCGATTACTGATTACAGGTCGCCCAAAATCCGTAACAATAATTTACCTTTATAAACTTAGATAACTATGATCCTAGTTCGTACGTTTTATGTAAGTATATTGCCTAAACTCAGAAAATGCTTCAAAGCTAAAATATTACTTTCTTGTAATTACAACTACGAAAACTAACTATGAACCATGTTTTGAGGGTGATGATGAAACAGCACTGCGAACTATGCTGCATTGCTGCCGCATAGGACGGCAAAACTGTGTCGACTATTTATTTTGTTCTTATGTAATATTATTACATAATTTGAATTATTTTAAGCAAAGTAATATTTATTTTTTCTCAAAAAGTCGTCAATGACGACGATAGTCATGTTTTATTAAAGCTTATCTAATTGTTTATAGAATATATATTGATATTAAGATACAACATTATACGTTATATAAATATTTGCTTTATTAGGTTGAATTGGTACGAGTTTATCTGTTTATAATTGAATTGTCTGTTCACGATAAGTATACAAGTAAATTATTTTTACTCTGTTCCAAATAAGATAATTTGTGCGCGAACGACCGAATTATGTTCGGTTTGCATCAAAGTAGATCGCTTGCTACCGCTCGCGTTGCGAAACTGGTCATCGCGTTGTGCTGCTTAACCGATGTGTTTGCGTGTGCGCGAACCCAAGTCATCTTATTTAGATTTAAGTGTAAACTATAGACTAAAGAGTAAAGAGTGATGAGTATTGAGTAACGACAGTGGTGTTTACACGTTATTAGCGAGCATATTGATATTGATATTGTAAAACAGGGATGGGCAACTCAAAGTTACTATAGGGCCAATTTTTAGAAATTTAAAATATAGCGGGCCAGAACATAGAAAGCAAAAAAAAAAAAGGTCATTCAAAATATACATTTTGAATAGCATTTATTTTGTATATAATGAAATAGGACATAGGTTAAAATTGTATACCTATACCTAATGCAATTTGAAAATGTAGCGCGGGCCAGATAAAAAAGGCTCGCGGGCCGCCAGTTGCCCACCCCTGTTGTAGAATATAGACTGAAATATAATTTAATATTTATTTTTGTTTTACACAATACATAAAATATGAACGGATAAAAGTTTGGTAGGTCTCGATATAAAAAACAATCGAAAGAATAAACACTGACAAGTTAATTAACACTCTGGTATAGGGCGGCACATTTTTAAATCAACTCACGGTCAAATCACGTTGCTATGTCGCCCGATTTCCAATTACATAAGCCCGCAAACACCACGGGCGATGAATTCGATTCGAATAATCGCGGCGACGTGATTAAAGTATATTATGTACATATGTTTGGTCACTTTTATAGTCACCATGATTTATCACGTTTCGTTTACCGAGGCAATCGATACGCCGAAGCCGTTTGTTAAGTTTGTTTGCTTGTTATTTATCGAGATGATAATAATGTATTAATATTGCTTGATAGTTGAAAAGAAGTAAACAAATAATGTCATAAACCATATTATGTTCGATGCTGATATATATATATAAAAAAAAAAAAAAAAACTGTAAATCATTATATTTTTATGGAGGTACGGCATAAAAGCATTTCCGAAGAAGGTCGCGGAATAAGGGACGAAAATATAATAATAATATTGAACGCTTCATTTTGTGTAGCGTTGCGATATCGCGATGGACATGATATTATAATATCTGCACTCTGGCAACATAATAATAATTGGTTGCCGTCAGACCCGTATCGATTTAGCCATTTTACTCATTTTAGTGGATCGGACCGTGGCCTGTTTTTGTATATACCACAGCACAGTATAAAATGCGAAATTTATTATGGTTAGTTGCGCGGTGAAGTACCCGCGAAAAATTATTAAGCGAGAATAAAATGAGCATACCAACTGACTAATTTTAAAAATGTTTTTATTTCACGAAGTCTCACACGTGTTTAGGTCTCGACGCGTGTATCGCACTAAAAATCGTGCGGATACAGAAAAAAAAAAGAAAAAAAATGACTATCGATATGTACCGACTTTCCAACTAATTCGTTTTAACCACGCAATAATAATAATAAATATTAAATTATAATATTGTATGGTAACATGCATAATAATATTATGCGGTGTAATTGCAGTAATTGCACACGTACCTTTTCCAGGAAATCGATGCATCCGTCGCCAGCCATGTTCGTCCGAAATCGTCGCTTCACAATTATTAATGAATAGTACAAAAAATGACTATTTCGTTATTCTCGCAGATTCGATGGCGGGCGGGAAACACCGCGAAATGGTCGACGTGTAGACTATGACGACTATCGCCGTTTAAATTGTAACGTATCGAATACTATTTTACTGCACGACTAGGAGGCGTATTGTTTTGGTCGTCAGCCGATAAACGCGGGGAAAAAAATGATTGTTTCTGAGACTGGCGTGCGTGCGATCGGACGGGAAAACAATGTCCGGGACGAGTAGGTAACGACGTACGGCGATTTTACGTACGACCGACGATCGGACGATGACGATGATATTGTGTTTTGGTGCCACGGCGTGCGGAAACGGAACGGAATCGTCGACGGCGGTACGAATCGGTGCTCAGCGAATCGGCAAAAGACGTACGCTAGCGACGACGAGACGGGGTCACCGCGGGCAGAGCGAAAACGGTCGTGGCTGCTATTAATATAATAATATTATCTTAACAACAAATAATGCGGCACGACGGTTTGCCGTGTTCGCGGGCCAAACGAGACGAGCGATGCGATAGTAATAATTTGTAGGTATAATATCGTAGTAATCGGTGTAGATAACGCGCGACGTAGGTACGCGATTTCTATGCCATCATTACAGTAATATATTATTATTATATAACACTGTTACCCATCTATTTTGTACACGCGTTTGTGTTTTCGTCGACGCGCCCGCGATCGTTCGTGATAATTTTTGTACAGATAACGTTTTCCGCTTTGCAAACGAAATAATTCGTGTTGTACAACAAAATGAAAAGCATGGCACGATGTAAGCGATGATATGTTATGACGAGTGGTAGGTCGGGTGGGCGGATGGGGTTCGGTCATTCCACGACATTTTTCTTCGGCATTTATTAGAACGTTATACGGATACTGGGTAGTACGATATTGCGAGGGTGCGGGGCGAGTTAATGAAAATGATAATTTACTGGAGTTGAATCGAATGAACACAAAATCGTCGAGTAAAACGTTCAGAGTTCACGAATAATACGTTTTAATGGACGATTGTGAATTTCACCGATTTATAGGAAGTCGATTTTTGGGTTGAATTTAAAACATGTAAATTCCACCGGTACGTATTTTTGACCTGAAAGCATGTTAACCCCACCGATGGTAAAATAAGTAACTATACTAACTATAGTGATCATAATTAATTATTAGATATATTTTTTTTAAATTTGTTTAAAAAATGATACAAGTATTTAAATTTTAAATATATTACCTATGTATAAATAAGAAATCTAAACATAAATTATGTATCTATTATCTATTGTAACTTATTATTATTATTGATTAATATTGTTTTATTGTTATTGCGTGCTTAATAATTTTATATCATATAATTATACTATAATACTAATTCATTTATCACAAACGTAAAAGGGTAAATTCTAAATATCTTAATAAAAATAAAAATGTACTGGTGGAATTTAAATGTGTCCGTTTTAACTCGTCCTAAGTTTAGAAACGATATGGAAAAATAAAAACTTGACTCAATTTTAGTTGCAAGTCACCTAATCTATAGTTTTTTAATTGGCACGTATGGATCACATAACTCATTGCATACGCTATACTCTTTATTTTTTATTTCTTGCAAATAAATTCATGAGAATATTGTACCTATACAGTTTTAAAATTTTAGGTAATAAAATAAAAGTATAATGCATTTCTGAGACTTTAAAATTATTTCTAAATTTTGTAAAATTTTAACATTGATTACTCATACAAACAATGTGACTAATATATTTTCAAAATTTTTTTATTTTCTGTACAATAACAACTTACGACAAACCTTAATACTTGTTATTTATTTTATTTACAGACAAAAATTTCATCACGCCTAAAAAAAAAAATGAATGATAAATGTTAAAAGTTTTTAAATTATAATATATACGATCTACGGAAATTTGAAAACTTTTAACCTCTTAAACTCAAAGTACCAATCAGATCAAATTTTCTACAAAAAAACTACCTTTAAAGTTGAAGTTCGAAGCAATTTGTCTACAATAAAACGTATACAAATGTACAAAAAACCTACATAATTGTAAAATCAATATTATGTTCATCAATTCACTTAAAATCTAAAAATGAATTTCGAACAATTATAGTTAATTATAGTTAATGTTAAAATATTATAGTTACAATTATAGTTAATGCATTATAACTAATGAGTGTTTCAAGTTCAGTTCAGTGGAGTGGTGTACTTGGATATCTCACATAATGTTGATTGTTGGTGTTCTCATAGAGTAAATAGGTAAAGTATTATACTAAACACACTATATTATACCTACGCATTACTCTTATCACCTCAACTGTAATACTTACATATTATAGTATTATACCTAACTATTTAATTGAATTATTTCCTAAAAGCTTGATTTTTGTATAAAAAATATAAATATTTCGCTTCAAAACATTAAATTAAAAATACATGTACAAAAGTTTAAAAGCTAAATGATAAAATGGTCGATAAGAAGATGTTACACCTGAATGTATTGTCTTCGTCTTACATATATACAACACAGCAATTTTTCGTTCAGCAGAATTCATTTTATATTAACTTTAATTCTAGAGTAAATTTACCTATTATCAAACTTAAGGTAATAATATTATTTAGGCCATCTCTTAGGCTTTAGTTAATAATATTATAATAATTTTAAAATGAGTTATGAGCATTTTAAAATTGTAATATTTTACAGAGCTATAATTCACTTTAAAATGATAATATCAATAAAAGCTTATGTGAGAGCTTAGATCATATTCTCACCTTTAAGTTTTATGATTGGTAAATGTATTCTAATATTTAAGCTATAAAAACATAAAATGGATTTTGCAGAACGTAAAGTTGCTATGTTGTGCTCTTATGTGTTTTTAAGACGGAGACATTACTTACGAGTATAGGCGCTTTCTTAACTTATTTTAATCCACATCCGATAATATATTGTAGAATATTTATTATAAAAGTATTTTTATTTTACTAAAAGTTAATGTCGATATACAGTAGAATGATGTAAAGAGGTTCTTAGAATAGTATAGACTTCTTAGTATAGATAATTGTTTAAATAGCTGAAAATTAATCACAGAGAACTTCGTGCCTACATATCTTGTCTTTGTCTTACTACGCATACTATACCGAAATAGACGTTCAGTTTTTCCAGTTTTATATACTCAGCTTAAATATTAAAATTAAATTACCTATTATCACACTTAAAGGTTTAGAACATTATTGTTCTATGTATAATCGGTTTTTATGGTATTTTAATTGTTAAGCGAATTATGAGTATGTAAAATATTAATATTTAAAAAGCTCATCATTCATTTAAAAATCAAAAAATTATAAAAACGGATGATAGAACAAGATAATGTTTTTAGTTTTTACCTTTAAGTTTAATAATAGATTATTTCACTCTAATGTTTAAGATAAATACATAAAATTGGAACTGATGAATACCTATATATTTTAGCAAGTAAGATCGAGACAACACATGTGGATATGATGTCTTCTTAAAATACTAAGTAAAATTTCATAGCGTTTAGTAAATAACAATAAACGTAATGGTGAAAAGTTTCAAATTTCTATCTTGATATGTTTAGGATTAAAACATTATTTTGAATATCGATTGAAGAGAAATAGCAATATTTTAATGAGATAATGTATTAATTTTACAATGATTATGTGTTATTTTTTCATAATTGAAAAAAAAATGCTTAGATTATTAAATTCTAGGGTGGTATAATTTTCAAAATATTTTGAATTTTATAGTTATTTATAGACATTTTCAATTTTCAATTTTTACGATTTTAATTTGTCGATAAAAAATTGCTTGATTACTTAAAAGTTTTATACTGTGCTGAGGTTCCTCACATATTTAAGATGTTTTTATAGATAATAATAGCTAACATTTAAAATTCTTTGATACAATTTATTTTTATAAGCATTTAATGTTCAAATGTTGATAAAATTACATTTTTTTAACTATGAATAATTATCTCTGTTTGTTGTTTCATTTAATTTAAAAACACTCGTAAAGACATAAAATTTCTATTACATCATTATATTTAATACTTAAAATTATATTTAAAATACAATATTTTGAGCAAAAAATAATTTAATCTTTTATAATACGTATAATAAAATAAATTACTTTACCTGAAAAAAAAACACGAAATACATTTAGACATTTAATGATTAAACTGATAGATTATCTTAATTATTTCGTTTAAAATGATATAGCATTGAATTCAAATTTAACACATTTATCACAGGGAAATACTCGACACTTTTTAAGTTTTGACCTACCATACCACACTTAACCTACCTTTTTAAATTTGAATATTTAACTTCATAGATGTTTAAACTTCTAGTGCTTGTAAAAAAAAATTCTGTGATTGGTTTTACGCTTATTTATTATTTTTTTTATTTCAGTAAGAACTTTGATGACATTTTTTATTAAATTCCCAAGCTTAAGTATTGAGAAAAAAAATTTGAATATTTTTTTGTGGTTTTAAGGAATCTTTTCAAAATGTTATTTTTTTATTTTCAATATATATTTTTAATGCTCTAAGAACACTTATGAATATTCTCTATTCAAATTCAGGTTTTTTATTTCACAAAAAAACGTTTAAAAAAAAAGTGATGGTTTAAATTGTCTATAAATAGTTGAAAAAGAGCAAGAGTTGTATTATATCTAAACAATTATGCTAATCTAAATATTTGTGGAAATTTTCAAATTGGCAGGATAGATAAAAATATATATTACAGCGTTTACTATATTTGTGTTATACTAACATGCAATTTTTATACATGTGTTTGATATAATTGTATAAATAATTAACTTATATTATGTAATGTGTATCTACCCTTATAATTTATCCGTAGATAAAGTAGTTGTAACTAAATGAAAAATGTATCTATAATATTGTATAACATGTTCTAAGTTCAATATTTTTGTAATGATATTAAAAGTTTATATACATATAGACATATAGTATGTTATGTAAATTAACTATTAAGCATGTAAAATGATTTGAAAATATCGATATTTGCATAAGCATAATTTTGTTTCGCAATCATTATAAACCGTTTTCACGTTTCAACATTTTTTGTCAATGCAATCAGTAATATTGAGATATAATCTTTAGATTGAGTTTAAAATGTAAAGATAACACTACATAGACAATAACAAAAATAAAGCTAATATTGCAAGACCCTTTTATTGATTTTTTTTCTTTAGAATACGTTGCTGATACGTGATCTTTTTATGTACACAACATATCATATATTAAACAACGATGGGAATTAGTTAGATTTAAAAACTTAACTAGTTTAATAAAAGATATTTTAAATTCAAATTTCGACGATATTACTTATTTAAAGATAAATAATGATGTTAATTTATACACAG